GAGCATGTACTTTGCGATACCCATGACGGTTTGTGCGGTGGACACTTGGGGGGTAAAGCCCTCACACAGAAAGTGTTGCGACAAGGCTATTATTGGCCCACGATGAAGGCAGATGCACTTGAGCTCATCAAAAAGTGTGACAAATGCTAGAAGCATGCCAACATCCACCACCAACCTACTGCTGATTTGAAATACCTCACTAGCCCATGGCCCTTCGCGCAATGGGGAATCGATATCCTTGGTTCTTTCCCGCCAGCAACAGGGTAGAAGAGGTTCTTGGTTGTAGCAATAGATTATTTTACAAAGTGGGTGGAAGTCAAACCCTTGGTAACAATCACAGCCCGCAACATACAGAATTTCTTCTAGAAAAGCATAGTATGCTGCCTCGGACTACCCCGAGTGCTAATATCTGATACTAGGAAGTAGTTTGTTAAGTTTAAAAAGTGGTGCGCCGAGATGGGGATTCAACAAAACTTCACCTCGGTGGCACACCCCCAAGCAAACGGGCAAGAAGAAGTAACTAACACGGCGGTATTTTGCAAATTGAAAGCTCGCTTAGCTTGAGCCAAAGGATTGTGGGTGGACGAGCTGCCCAGTGTCCTTTGGGATTACCAAACTACTATTAAGACCGCCATAGGTGAAACCCCTTTCAACCTCACGTATGGCACAAAAGCAATGATCCCGACAGAAATTGAGGTACCCACATTACGATTGGAGGCTTACGATGAGGAAGCGAACGGTGACGAGCTCCGTACCAACCTGAACCTGGTAGAGGAGGTAGGAGACCTGGCCTACATTCAGACCGCGGCCTACCAACAAAGACTATCTCGGTACTATAACGCTTAGGTCAGAAAATGACAATTCTGTGTCGATGACCTGGTTCTTCGGAAAGTTATGGTACCTGAGCCCGGCATAGGTAAGCTCGGACCAAACTGGGAAGGTCCTAGTTCAGGGCAAAATCTCTCTAAGTCTATGTGAATACCAAACTGGTCGAAAAAGACGACCGACTGGAGAGAGGACTGCGAGTCACTCCCAAGAGCCTAAGGGCTATGGTGCCGAACTGACAAAAGACCTCGGCACTACGATAAGTCCTTGTCGCCTCTTCGGCATAGGTAGACAAGTCCTAGTCGCCTCTTCGGCATAGGCAAACAAGTCCGAGTTGCTTCTTCGGCATAGGCAGACAAGTCCTAGTCACCTCTCCAGCATAGGTAGACAAGTCCTAGTCGCCTCTTCGGCATAGGCAGACACGTCCTAGTCGCCTATGAGGCATAGATAGCTTGGGTGCAAACCCTACGGTGTCTATCCACCTCGGCGTACAACAATGTAAGGTTAATCCCACCTAGAGTCTAGCTCGTTAGATCGGCACTAAGGGATAACCAACACTTAAGCAAGTGAGTAGCACGTGCGTAGACAGGTCGGGTATATACCCTATAGTGTCTGACCACCTCAGTGTACAACGATACGAGGTTATTCCTACTTGGAGTCCAGCTCGTTAGCTCGGCACTTCAGGGTAACCAACACTTAGAAAAATTTTACTCAAAAAAGATTTTGTTGTATTCACACACATGAAACTTTTGAAGTATTGTGTTTTATTAACAAAAGTAAAAAAAAATAAAAAAATATATAAAAAAATAAAAAAAAACAACTACAACTGAGCTTGGAGGCCCAAGATATACATTGTATATAGGAGGTCCAAGAAAAGAGGCACATCTAAGTATCAGATTTGTCAGAATCCCCTCCAACAGGTAGGTCAGTTTCCATGTGGTCCTCCTCCACGTTGTCTCGGTCTGCCTCCCTCGACGGCCTCGCCTTGAGAATTTCATCACTTTCCCCTTCGGAGGAGTCGGGTTCTTCGTCAGCCTCCTTCGCCATCTCAAGAGTGACGATGGACATGGAAATAGACCTGAAGTCGAGCTCGAGAAACTTCTGTTGCATCAGCCACTTGCAAAGTTGAAGCCCGACCGGTACGAGCTAGAGCCATACTCGACCTGAAGTTCGTGAAACTCAGGGGACTCCTTGAACTCCTCGACGGCGCGATCTCTCTCTTAAACCCATGCCTCATGGATGGCGGTGTCGAAGATCTCGATGCGCACCTTGATCATCGCCTCGAAGTTCTCGTTCTCTTAGAGGAGAGCCTCCTTCTCCCCTTTGAGCTTCTTCTTCTCCTCCGTTAGCACAAGGATCAGCTCCTCTTGGCTCGAAGAACCTCACCCCGAGCTAAATCTAGCTCACGGTAAAGCTTCCGAGCATTTTCTTCAGCCTCCCGAACTCGCTTCAAGCGGATCTTGGACTGGTAAACGAGTGAGTGGATAGCGGAGTTCACCTAGCAAATAGAAAGCAAGCGTAAGTACCATTAACAAAAGAATAAGAAAGTAAACAAAGGGGCAGGCTACTCACCACCATACAGTAACTAGTTGCTCTTCCCCTGATCTGACTCGTTGGTATGTCAACCCATTCCGTGACCTCCGTAGGAAACACGACATCCTTGCTCTTAAGAAGCCCGAGCCACGGAGTCATTATGCTCTCCTTCGCTGAAGGGGACTAAGGCTCGGGCACCGGAGTACCCTCTGGCTCGCAAGGTGGGGCCCCCTCATCCTGGTCCTTGTCCAGGTCAACAACTAGAGGCTGGGGGTGAACCTCCTCTCTCGGAAGCTCTATCGAGATCGGCTCTGGCGCAACGACCTCGGGTTGGGCAGGAACAGAGGAACCGGCCTCCTCTCGACGGGACCTCTTCGAGGCCTTTCTCTTCTTTCCCTTCTCAGCACTTCTCAGAAGGTTAGTAGCGTCAACACCCGTCATAGCTTTTGCAAGAGAGAAGAAAAAGAGTTAGCCACAAAGTAAGTGCAAAAAGGAAAAAGGAAAGGTGATATGTGTGCCGAGGTGGAGGCCTAGCAGGAGGACTCAGCCTAGCTCGTACAAGCTTTTCCTTAGCCAGGAAATCTTTCACTTCAAGGCCGAGGTCTCTCCAAGAATTAATGATCGCCCTAGTCTCAACATCTAGCCTCACCCCGGGGTCCTTAATGGCCATTCGCCAGTGAGTCGGGAATGGCCATCCCTCAGGATTCCGAACAAAGAAATACCTCCTCTTCCAGGCCGATACTTTGTTCGGGTTATCGAACAAAACCTTGAACCCAAGGCGATGAGAGATATAATACCGGGTGTCCCCGTGTAGGCAAGAGGAGTTCTTCTTGATGGAGCAAATCGAACTAAAGATATCTAGGGTAAGAGGTCGGTTATACTCATGGAAAAGTGAGATCATGCCAACGATGGTTCAGAGGGAGTTCGGGTGTAACTAGTCAATGGTGATGTTGAAAAACTTAATGATTTCTATGATGAAAGGGTGGAGTGGGAAGCGCAACCCAGCTACGAGCTGCTCCTCAAAAACCGCGAGCTCGTGATGACTGTGAACCTAGGGGTATTGACCCAAAGGGATAAAAAAGACAAGGGTGTCGTGGAGACGGTAACGAGCTACCAAGGACAACAATCTGTTCGAGGTCATCGTGGAAGGACCGAAGTTGTCTGGATCCCGACCTCGAAGAAGATGGGACCCCCTCTCTAGAGGTCGGTCGCTCTACCTGAGGTTCGGGTTCCTCAGGCCGAGATGGCCCGACGTCAGGTAAAGGTGTTTCCCCTAAAAGGTGTAAAGAGGAGCTCTCTAGCGAAGAGCTGGACTCATCAATGAAAGCCGAGGACCGCACCTCGACACCCTCGGGCTCACTAGAATCGCTAAGTAACCTATCCATGCTAGCACTAGACATATTGGACAGGAAAATGAAAGGGGAACAACTAATGAAGGAAGGCAAACTCACCAAGAAGACGACAACGACCTCGAACACAAAGGGAAGAATGGCGAGCTGAAGGACTCCGACACGATCTCATGAGAGCTCAATTACACGATTTATGGCGAAGGTAATGGGCCCTTCGGCGCTCTATTTATAATCCACCACATTCGGCAATCAACGGTTGAGACTTGTATGATCCGGCGACTCCCATGAAAACCGGTTGCATGCTACCTGCAGACGAAATCGGTTGAGCGTGCCCTTTGGCGTCCGCGGAGTTTATAAATAGTGTGACGTCCGCACGTGCCCGAGACGCGACCTAGGTCATTTAATGGTTAAGCCAAATGGTTGAACAGGTCCGACCAACAGTTCGCCCTCCAAATTGTCTAGACTTTCGCCAAATCCACCTGGACTTGTCGTGAACTCCCTGCACTGGGTTGGAACCCCTGGCACGAGGAGTGGGGGGCAATTGATGAAGGTTGATTTGGCACAACCTAGTAAGAAGAGGACACGTAGACGCGATCTACTCGAAGGATGACAACTCAGCCGAACGAACCCATTTCGTAACATTCGGAGCTCGAGTATCCCACCACCACGGCATAAAAAACCACCTTGGCGTAGAGACACCTCGATACCCATTCCAGTTCGGAACTAAAGAATCGAAGTGCCTGTTCGGAGCTAATGAGCCGAAACGCCACATAACCTGCTCCAAAGGCCTCCCCAACGGACCCCGAATTTCTCGGGATGATGATGAGGCTCATCCTAGCTCCGCCTGAATCGGGGGGTAAAAGGATAAACCTTATCAACATATTGCTCTCCTTAAAAAACAGAACAAACCTTATCTGCATAGCCCGGAGATCCCGGAGCTCTTTCGTAAGGCCCACGACTATGCCATTATATAAGGACATGAAATTTCAAGGCAAAGGTACACGTGATTATTTTACTCACTAGCATTTAAGCGCTCAAGATTTAGTTCGCATTTATAGTAAAAGTACTGACTTAAGCATCGGAGTGACCTCGCCAAGTCAACTACCCCGAGTTCTCTGATCTACTATTCTATAGATCGGTCCAACTCACCGCCCAATTAGAATTCGGGTCGTCTTCCAGCTAGGAGTATTTAAATCGTACACCATCATTAAGCAAACAAAGGGAGGCGAAACCCATCCTGACTCCAGACTCCTGAGTTGAAAATGAATTGAAAACAAATGTTCAAACAAGGGATAGCAAAACAAATATTATAATGTAGAGAAAAGTTGTACAAAGTTGCTTGAGTTGAACATGATGTTTTATGAAATGAGAAATAAAATTCATCCACCACCCAACCATAGAGGTTTAAATGCATTGATACATATTTACTCTAGATTCATATGTGAAAATATCTTATAATGAGGGGTATGGGGTACTAGTATTGTTTGTATCACATTCCTCCCTAGGAGGATATTAGATGTAGAAGGGTTGAACAGTATTTCCAGTTCATCCTATTTAACTTCACAGACAGATTGGTCACCTAGTCAGGTAATATATGATTAGGAAGATGACAACAAATGACACCACAAGTGTGAACATTCTTCGGCTCGATTTGGTCTCAAAGACCTGCAGCAGTAACAAGTAGGTTGGTACTCATATGAGACAAACATCTCAGAAAGAAATGCAACAGAAAGTGTGGAGTACAATCTGGTTGACTTACTATTTTGAACCTATCCACAGTTCCAGACAGGAGTCCCCTTGATACATCCATTTTATTTCCCTATGCATAGAATCCATATATAAAACAAAAGACCTAAGGGGGGAAAAATAGGAAGAAAAATGTTTGCAATTTTAAAGACAATAAATTGATTGATGATTGCAGCATACATACCATCTTGTCCAATACACGGTTATGACTTTCAACCTCCTCATGTATGTCTCCAGTTAACTGTTAACCATAAGGTTACAGAGGGATCACGATTTGATTCAGGAAGATAGTTGTCAGGTATATAATACAAACTTATTGCTCTTTAAACAGGATATATCATAGTTCTTTGGTGCTCATATACACCACATGTTTAGATCAAAATTATTGCAAGAAACAAATTGATGGAAACATTTTCTCAAACATGACCAAAAGCGAGTTAGAAGATCATTTAGATAGCACAAAAAATCTTTTAAGGAAAACATCATAGAGTTAAAGTTAATCACAAATATACCCTTATCTATCTTAGAAGTTCTACATTCTGTAAAACATTACAGCATATTAAAAAGAAAATTTGAAGGCATTCAAAATGATGATTGCAAATCCTGCACCTTGTGAGTTGTGGCACTAAAACATACACTTTTACAGTGAGCATCTATAGCACAAACGGGAAAGAGGCAATTATAAAACAGAAAGCCATCCACCAAAATGGAACATACTCTCTTCAATAGACTGACTCTGTCTTGCAATCCATCAAGAGCCCTATCATTGTCATGCTCATCGATTTCATGGGAGTAGGATGAGGAACCCCTAATACCTCCCTCCTCAATTTCATCAAAGAGAGAAGACCTATTGCTACGGAACTCTCTGCATAATGAGATACCTCATAGTAAGTAACACTGTTGTCTAAGATCCAGTATATAATAAAAATTCCTCTTAAATTGACATACAAGGGAAAACACCAAGGAATATAAACAAGAAGCTTTTTAACACATCATAAGTTTATCAAATAAGACAAAGAATCAGGTAAATATTATTTAGAAATTCACAGAAAGAAAGAAAAAGGATATTAAAAATGTCAGCTCTTAGACCTATTCCCAGTTTCTGTGAGATCTTTAACAATGCATGACAAAATAGGAATTGATAATCCGATTTACTAGGAACCATAATGCTTGTAGCAGAAACATATGTTTCTGAAGTAGAGGTGTTAACAGCATCTGACTCACTGACTGTCTAATTTTGGACAATTCAAATGTAATATTGATCGATTTCAGATAATAATTTTGTGTCAATCAATTTACAAAACCAAATTCCAATATATCCTGATTCTATCTAATAAATATCCAAATTGGCAATATTAAAGTGTATTTGTTTATATTGCGTAATTATATCCCTTACCTTCATCTCTCGAATACATCTATGGTGAAGGGTATAGTGGAAAAATATGCAACCTAACCCTAATCAATCAATAAATACCCATCTTTTCTATAATTTCTTTGATATCTTCTTCTTTGTTCTTCCCTTTCATTTCTGCTAACAGACTCACAAGAACTAACCACTGCACACCAGCATGGCAGAACTACAACCCATATACAAGGTCAACAGCATCTTTCTTCTTCCATTTTCTCAGATAATAATAGACACCTATCTTTCTCCCTCCCGTTCAACATTTGCACACTACAAGCCACACCAAGAACAATGGCAAAGCATACACATCCAAATTTGGTAAAGGATTGAATACAGGACAACAAGGATGCAAGGTTCAATAAGGAATTTTGAAGTTGAAAATTCTAGAAGCCAGTTTGTTGATAAGATTGGCGTTACTTAGTACAGATTTAAACATTAATACCTAGGGAACATACATATTGTATGGTATCCCATGAGCCACCTCACCTCCAAAGGACGTCTATATTTTCACTTTGCCAACATATTTTGTTGAGGGTATAAGCACATACATTTGGTGGATGGCTTTCTGTTTTATAATTTTCACTTTGGTATGATACTAACACTTGAAATGTTCACATTAATTTCTACTGCCCCCTCCCCCTTACTTTAAGAACTTTCCTAGATGCATCAAATTTCTAATTTTCCCCTTTTTTCTGTAACCAATGCTGATCTATCAAATATAGTAGGAGCATTGTGCTTAGGTATTTCCTACTTTCTTCACCCTGAACAAAAGCATATAACTTCCCCAATAAAAGCAATTCCTCTCAATTGAGAATCTGCATCTGCAAAGAGAATTGAGAAGTCACTTTAGTTGGACACCAATATCAACCAACAGTTAGGAAGATGCATTGGAAAAACAGGGAACAAAAAGGGATCAGTTTTATCGAGGGTTACCTCTAGGGAATCTACATTCTAGCTGTAAATATAAGAGATGGGTAATGGGGGCTAAGGTAGAAAGGGCTAGCCCAGATACCCTAGAAATATATATGGACTTGGATTGATAAATTCCTTCATAAGTAACTCCCATCAGCTGCTTGTGCTTGATTCTTGTCCTTTTGTTGGCTGAATCACAAACTTAAGCCTTTCTTTATTCCACAATCTCCAAGGAGATTTTACCTTTTGAGGAGGCCCCCAACAATAGCACTAGTAAAATTCCATTCTTCAAGCAATCTTCCTTAGATCTAAGCATTAATGATCCTAAGGCCTTGAATGAGAGACAACAAAGCTTCAGTGACCATTTGATACTTTCATTTGATTCCTTGTATGGATCTAAGTGCAATTATTTTCTCAATTCTAGGAACATATTAGTAGATGCTTTTAACATTCTGAAGCTATTAAAATAAAGACATGACAGAGTGATAGAAGTAGTTCAGGTTCAGTAAAAATGATCACCATATGGTATCTTCAAGCATTTCAGGTGATGCTTAAGAACAATATGATATCCTCTTTCTCTGGACTCCTGGTCATACTTATTCTATATATAAATATTAGAGCTATAGAACCTATTTGGTAATTTTGTGTTACAATAGAGTCAGATGGTCCTGAAAGATTTGTATGAATTCAATTAGCCGTTCCCCTTTCACGGCTCCTAATACCTTTTACTCCTTTTTAGGATGTCCAATTCCTTCTTAAACAATATACTATTTTCTGTATTCCACACTTTTTTCTAACTTTAATTCAAGTTTCTTTGTTGAAAGAATGAGATGTTATATGGGTTAAGCATCATGCTTGGAAAAATACTAGCACCTCAACTCATACCTCCGCCTTTTATTTAAAACATCAGTTCTCTTTTAATGTAAGTTGGCCTATGGTTACTTAGTGAGGCTTTTAATTGGTGGAGATTGTTATGTTCCAGAGATTTATCCTTTACATGATAACAATCCAAAGGAGACAGCCTCATGTCAAACAAGCCCATTAATCCACAAGATTAAGAAGAGATAAAGGAAATTAAATCAAAAGTTAACATTTTTCTTTGGATGGAATCATATGACAGTGAAAGTAACACAAACATACACCACAACAGTAAAAAAAAGGATTACCAACAGCAAGTATCTAGTTTTCCATTTAATCACAAAATAGAATACCAAGAAATTAGATGCCTGAAGAAATCTTTGGAGTTCCAGACATTCACAAGAAACGGCAGCTTAAAAACTGCCAAAGAAAATGGCAGAGCGGAATAAAACAGGGATTAGAAAAAAAATAATAATTAAGCTCTAGAACATATCTCACTGGTCACAACATAAAAATCTAACAAATGCCGGTAGAGATCTTAAGTCAATCAGATAAAAGATTTAATCAACAAACAAATCAACGATAAGAAAATTAAAATTAGAGGGAAAGACATTAGGACGAACCTTCTTGAATTCATAATTCGCGAGATTCAGTTATTCACGTGTTGTTTTGCCCTTCCAAGAAGGGTAAAGGCAGGTTTCGATTTTCTCTTCTATTCTAATAAGAAATTTCACATAACTAACAACAAGGCTGACACAAGCCACCGTCGAGAAACTTCACAAAGAAAACAAAATATCTGTTCAGAACAAATACACGAAATCCGAATAATGTAGGAAAAAAAGATATAATTTCAGGAACAGGTTGCAGTAGGACGAAACTGGAAACAAAATAGAGAAAACCGTGATTGATTCAAAATGCAGAAAGCAAATCGTCGAATGATGGAAACCAAAGAGCGCCTACCGCTTAATGACCAACAATTCCTCAAAAAACAAAATTGTAGATCGAAACAGATTCCGAAAAACGAATTTGAATGGAATGAGAAACTAATAATTAAACCTTCTGTTGACTGAAAGATGAATTAAAATGAAAAAAGTGAAAACGAGGAAAAGAAAAGAAACATACACTCCAGAGAGTCAGAGGAAAACTGATGGTAATCATCCCAACACAGAACGAGCTAACGAGGAAAAGAATGAGACCTGGTGTTTAGATTTTGAAGCAATCGGACAAAACCAACATCTCTCTCTCTCTGCCGTTAATGGGGGCCATGACAAGTGTCAGTAGGTTGGTAGATCGTGATTCTCTCTCCTACACTAGTGAGATGCAGACCGTTGATCTGTAACGGCACCACTGTATCCTTCCACCTTATGTCGCGTGATGACAAAGCAGAAGAATCATCGTACTAATTGAATTTATATCACTTGACAGTAGATATCAGTAGACGTTGATGGTCCAGAGATCCCATCAGTTGTCACAACCGACCCAAGACTATCCGGAGACCACCAATAAAAACACTGTCACCAAATTCCTTTGCGGGTGGTCTCTCACTCTTTCTTGTGTTGTGGTATCTGATTTAGATTTTTGTTAGGAATCGCTGCGTTTGTTTTTCGTGTAAATGTGAATCACGTAAACTTCACCGTTAACTTGGCATTTGCTACTTTTTTTTTTTGTATAAATTATTGGAATGGCCCGTGCACGGGGTATTTGATATAGGTGGTGATGTTTGATTATGTTATTTATCGGGTATAGATTTGTAATTTATGTTATTTTTTTTTATTTTTATGATATTTTTTTTAATTTTCTATATATTTCTTTGTTTTTTATAATTTATATTATTTTTTTCATTTTATGTGTTTTTTCATAATTATTTTGCAATAACATATTATATATATAATGGGAAAATATAAAATTGAGGGTAAAGTTGGAAAATAAAATTAGAGTCTTTTGACCAAATCAATTGCACCATTCTCATTTTTCAGTATGATATAAAAGTTTCTATGATTTTCTACATTTTTTTTTGTAAATTGTCAATGTATTTCTTTGTTTTTTGTAATTTATATTGTTTTCTTCATTTTGTGCTTTTCATAATTATTTTGTAGTGACAATATATATAATGGAAAAAATAGAAAGTTGAGGGTAAAGTTGGAAAGTAAAATCAAGGTGCTTTGACCATATTAATTGCAACATTCTCATTTTTTAACATATAATATTATATTGTTTTCTTCATTTTATGTTTTTCATAATTATTTTGTAGTGACAATATATATAATGGAAAAAAAATAGAAAGTTGAGGGTAAAGTTGGAAAGTAAAATCAAGGTGTTTTGACCAAACCAATTGCAACATTCTCATTTTTTAGTATATATATATATACATGGTATTGAAATTTTTATGATTTTCTATTTTTTTTTGTAAATGCTTTTGTGTATTTCTTTTTTTTTTTGTAATTTATATTGTTTTCTTTATTTTGAGGAGAAAGGTGCATAGGATAAATAGACACCGTTTCTATTTCCTCCTTCCTATTATGAAGTAGGGGGAATGGATAAGATATACACTATACGGAGAGGGATTTAAAAGAAAGAACTAGGGTTTTATAATTTATTTCTTCGCTTCATATGTGTATGATAATATTTGGTCTTTTGCTTCATGTCTCCTACCCATTAATGGTGGGACCGTTATTTGCACATCTAACGGCTACCATTTGGATATAGGTTGATCTTGATTCATCTATATTTAGATTCGAATTGAACATMCGTCTGATTTTTGTAGAAGAGTCTAGATCTCCTGCCAACAAAACACATTCCAAACCCCTACAACCCTACCAAGTACCAAACCCCTACAGTATTATGTTGGTAGGGTGTTAGATTATTGGACTAACCTAATGATCGTCGAGAAAAAACACCCTAAAACAAATCAATATAATGAACCTAAAAGCATTTCCTGATCCAATACAACTTATTATGTTAACGAAGAAAATCGAAATAGAGGGGAAATGGGAAAAAAAATACATGAAAAAATAGGGAGAAAACAAAAAAAGTCTTCATTTAATCATTTAATTGATTGTTCGATGATGAAAACAAAGATGTCGAAAAAATCCATTCCTCCCTTCAATTTGAATTCATGAGTTTTGGGCAAACCATTCGATACTTGACACATGTTGGTCCTAATCAATGAAGAGGTTCGTCAGATAGGCCTAATGGGAGTAGGCCTGTCAATGATACCCAAAAACCCGAGGTCCAATTCGACATCCAATCTGATTATTTTGGATTCAGATTACGTATTTATGTAATCGGATCAAATTCGAATGTTACAATCTACATCCCATTAATAATCAAATCGAATTTGGATTTGACCCAATATGATTTGATTAAAATTTGAATATGATTATATTATAATATTTATTAATTTTAATATATAAATTCTATATAATTATATTAAAATTTATAAAAATATATTTTAAATATTATATTATATAATAAATTTAGTATGTTATATTTATATTAATTTATTATATATAAAAGTTGAAAAATAAATAATTTTTTTATTTTATTGATATTTTAGAGAATCTAAAGTTGAGTCAGATTAAATCCGAATCCAATATGAGTTTGTTAGGATTCGAATTTGAATCCGAGTCTTTAAATCCAATCGAATTTCAGATCAAATTTGAATGTAGGTTCTTAATATTCAGATCAGATGCAAATTTGCTACATCCAATTAGAATCCAATCTGATTGCAGCCCTATTGGGGAGAAGATCATATAAGGCCTAAGAGGAGAGAGGAGTAGGTTCCATAGCGGTTTTATTATTATTTTATTTGCTTTATCCAATTACAATTGTTAACCATTAATTAAATAAAATTAGAAAAATAAAAAAGGGTAAAAATGGAAGATGAAAATCATGTTTTTTTACGAAACATTGTCACCATACTCATTTTTATAAATGGTACAAACAACATTCTCATTTTTTAGTATGGTATAGAAATTTTTATGATTTTCTATATTTTTGTAATTTTTTGCGTATTTCTTTGCTTTTTCTGTAGTTTATATTGTTTTCTTCATTTTGAGGAGAAAGGTGCACAGGATAAAAGAGATGTCATTTCTGCTTCCTCCTTCCTACTGTAAAGTAGGGGGAGTGGATAAGATATACAATATGAAGAGAAGGGTTTAAAGGAGAGAATTGGGGTTTTAGGAATTATGTCTTCGCTTCATGTGTGAATGATGACATTTGGCATTTTGCCTCCTATTGTTCTGCTCGTCAATAATGGGGCCGTTATTTGCATATCTAATGGCTAGCATTAGGATATAGGTTAATCCTGATTCATTTATATTCATATTCGAATCGAATATCCATTCGATTTATATAGAAGAATCCAAAGCTCTTGCCAACAAAATGCATTCCAAACCCCTATGACCCTACCAAGTACAACCCCTACGATATTATGTTGGTAGGGTGTTAGATTACCGGATTGGCCCAATGATCATCGAGAAAAAACACCTAAAATGAATCACTATAATGAACCTAAGAGCATTTCCTGATCCATTACAACTTATTACGTTAATAGAGACAATTGAAAAAAATAGGGAGAAAACAAAAAATAAAAATAAAAACTTCATTTAATCATCTGATTGTTCCTTGATGAAAAAATAGAGGTTGAAAAAGTCCATTCTTCCCTTCAATTCAAATTCGTGGTTTGGGAAAATCATCCGATACTTGACACATGTTGGCTCTAATCAATGAAGAGGTTCATTAAGTAGGTGCTTCGGGAGAAGATCAGACAAGGTGAGGAATAGGTTCCACAGTAGTCTTATTGTTATTTTATTTGTTTTATCCATTTACAAGTGTTAACCGTTAATTAAATAAAATTGAAAAAGTAAAAAAAAAGCATAACAAAGGGTAAAAATGGAAATTGAAAATCAAGCTTTAAAATAAAAAATGATAGAGAGTAAAAATGGAAAATGAAAATTAGGCTTTTTTGACACGTGTTGGCTCTAATCAATGAAGAGGTTCGTTAAGTAGGTGCTTTGGGAGAAGATCAGATAAGGCGAGGAATAGGTTCCACAGTAGTCTTATTGTTATTTTATTTGTTTTATCCAATTACAAGTGTTAACGGTTAATTAAATAAAATTAAAAAAAATACAAAACATAACAAAGGGTAAAAATGGAAAGTAAAAAAACAAACTTTAAAATAAAAAACATGATAAAAGGTAAAAATGGAATATGAAAATTTGGCTTTTTGATGAAACATTGTCACCATCCTCATTTTTATAAATGAAAATGATGAGATATAGAGATTATTCAATTACAAGTGTTAACTGTTAATTAAATAAAATTGGAAAAATAAAAAACATAATAAAGGGTAAAAACGAAAAGTGAAAATCAAGATTTAAAATAAAAAACATGATAAAGGGTAAAAATGGAAAGTATCATTTTTATAAATGATACAAATATAGATATATTATATTATATATTATATAAATATATATATANGAAATATGAAATCAGGGAGGGGGTAGGATTGGAAATATAAATCAGGGTGTTGGACGATGGATGCTCATCCATTTCTCTTTTTTATAAATGGGTAAGAAATAGACTTGTGTGAAATTATATTTTGGATCTATATTTTTGGAGGTGTAAATCCGGCATGGCCCAATTATGGCATGACTGTATGGGCCATGTCGAGGTTGGGTTTTGTTAACTTACTTAAAATTTTTTTATTATTTTTTCAATTTCTTTTTTAAAATATACCTCTCATAGCTTGACTTGGTTTACAGTTTAATTTGGCCCAAGGCTCGACCCACGACACGGGGCCCACATGGGCTCGAGCCATGGATTGTGCTGGGCCAACCTCCTAAAGTGTCCCAAAGGAGGGAAGTACATCCCAGCTTGGCCCATGGGCCATGTTGTACCGAGCCAACATAGCTTGATTTACATCTCTACATATTTTCACGCATTTAAATGTAAACCTTTTTATCGTCCGAGCTTTTCATCAATAATTGGTATAAATAATATATCAATTTTATGAATGTACTTTTACATCGACTATAACATTTAAAAAAGTTGCAATGATTCATTAAAATTTTAAACCCATGTACATTGAACTGATTAATGTACTTTAAGTAAAGCAGCCTATTTATTTTTATCCATGACTCCACGTTAGAGATTGTTAAGCCCTATTTGTTGCCCATGGCTTTAGTCATGCCATGGGGTTTTTATCCATTCTCAGTAGGAATTACTAAAATTCTTAATTCAAATTAATTTTGTGATAGAACCTAGGGGGTGTTCTTTTTTTGGATTTTGATAGGAGAAAGTTGGTCAATGGGATTTTGGTTCCCATTGACCAAGAATCCCATGTTCTTTTTTCATATTT